CTGAAAAGAGCGACAAAAAACCAGTTGGTCACTGAGGCCCTAGCATCTACGGCCGCCGAGGGCTCCCGGGCCGGGTTCCAGCCACAGAAGGCGGGAGCGCCAGCCCGGGTTCCACCCGATGTCGGCGGATTCCCGCCTCCCTAGCCCTCGGGAAGCCACTGCCTCAGCAAACACTCACGTGTCGTCTCGGTAAAGAAGGAAGAGGCCGCGCCAAAGGGATAATTTTATAGCGCGCCAAGTGCCGCGAGATCTCGGCTGCCTCGAATCACAGGCCAATAAAGCAGCCTGTGACTGGCTCCGCGGTGCGCCGCCCTCGCCTAGCTCTGCCTGTGACTGTGTGTCTGCGGCACCGGAACCTGCGCGACTGGGCAGCTGCTATAAAGTCCCGCGCCGCTGCCACCTCACTCTCTCGGGTTGCAGGTAGGTTAACCTGTCTGGGTTGCGTCCTCCATGCGGCACTGTGAATGCGGTGAGGGGAAGATGATTGGGAGGTCGGCGTCAGCTGAAAATCGCCTGCGGCTTTGGCCGTGGCCGTGGGTGAGATTCGGCGCCTAGAGCCACTCGGGGCCTCAGCTCACAGCCCACTCCTCGGTGTGGGGAGGTGAAACCCAGGCCCCAACAGGCGCCGCCGTTCCGATCCCCGCTGCGGCTGCTCGCGTGCCCTGGCCTCTGGCCTCTGACCCTTGACTCCGTCTTCTACCCGCAGGACACCTGGATGCTAAGAGCTTGAGGCCGCCGCCGCCAGGACCGCGGGGGAGAGGGTCTCTGTTCTCGTCTTTAAATAAAGCTGTTGGTCTAATTCAGCCGTGTGTGGGTGTTCTTGGTCCTCTGCCCATCGGCCGGGAAAATGCGTCTCTTGTCGCTGGGACCGAGGTGTGCTGTGGAGAAGAGACCCTTGTGGGACACCTTCCCAGCCTGCTTTGAACGATGCCATGCAGGGACGGAATCTGGTTTTGGTGGTTGCCAGGTGACTCCGAAGAGCCCACCCCCCGAAAACTGGCAGTCAGGTTTGAACTCATCTTGTGTCTACCCACACCCCATAGCTTCCACATTAGCAAGTAAAGTACTTGGAGCTTGGTAGAAGTCAGGCTGGACCAGGAAACCATTAACAATGGTGGGAGTGTAAGATTCACAGTTCAGAGGCTTAACAGTAGTTCCCTATTGTTCTCAGGACAAGGTTAGGGTCTTTAGGATTAGATGAGGCTAAAACTCAGTGGCACTGAACCTGCAGTTCTCTTCTGTGCCTCATGTTGGGAACATGCTGGTTTCCCAAGCTGGAATTGATTTCCCCGTGCCTTTTCTCTTAGGCTTGACCATATGTTCAGAGATTACCTGCTCTGGGAGACTTTCCCACATTCTAGACTCCTCCACTGTGGTACCACAGGTTGCATGGAAACCTGGTCCCCACAACTGGTCTGTATCCTGGAGCTAGCTCTATGGGTCTCAGATCCTAAGAGACCTTATGATGGGTCCCTAACCACCCACCCTCCTCCAGCTCTTGGGGATCTGGGCAGTAGTGAGGAAACAGGAACAATCACTGCGTTTCTATTGAAGCCTCAGCTCTCGGGGGAAGTAGCCCTTGGAAGCTTGGTTCTCAGCTTAGTGGTGTTTGAAGATCAGCTGTAAACCACCCTTGCCAAAGGCAGGGGCTCTAGGGATCCACCCTGGTTCTGGGCTACCCCACATCTGTGACTCTTGAAAGGGGAGCAAGAGCCAGGTGATACCCTGGGCCAGGGCTGTGATTGGCCTGAGCTGGACAATGCCACTGTGATGTCGGCCCACTCCTGGTATGAAATGGAGGCTCCCGAGCCCTGGGGGTCAGTGGAGCTGCCGTCCAGACACAGATGATGGTGAGCCCTTAAATTTGTGCCTAACTCCAGGGACCTGCCCAGAGCTGGACACCATTCCTCACTGAGATAATCTGGACAGTGTGGTACAGAATCCCAAATGGGACAAGGAAACCTTTCAGAGGGGTCAGGCCAGGTCTAACTCCAGGCCAAGGCCAGCTTCTGCACCTGGGGATTGGTAGTCATGGGGGTCTTGACTGTCACAGCTGCCCCCTCAAAGTGGGTGCTGAACCAACCCTCCACCTGGGGCTTGCATGTGGCCCATCTCCCACCCAAATCTTCCTGGGGACCCCCTCTGGGTATTGAGGAGTCGGGGAATGGGATCCAGGTCCTGATGCTGGCCTGTCCTTTGCAGAGTGGCGGGTATGATCTCAACCTCTTCGCCAGCCCTCCTGACTGCAACTTCCTGTGTTCTGTCTGCCATGGGGTTCTCAAGAGACCAGTGAGGTTGCCATGCAGCCACATCTTCTGCAAGAAGTGCATCCTCCGGTGGCTGGCCAGGTGCTGCTACTGGGCACCCAAGAGGCTGGGAGGGCAGGGGTCTGGGGGGGCCATTCTTGGGGCCCAGAAGAGAGAAGAAAGGTCTGCCAAGTACTGGGTCATGATGGTCATAGGGTTCAGCTGCCAAATCTCCTGGGATACTAATATTAAGTCTAGTCACCCCGTGATATCTGCAGCCCCTAGCCCCAACCTCAGAGCTGAGAGCTCCCTATAAAGCCCTCTTATACCTCTTCCAGCTACAGAGGAGGGACCCCCAGGGGAGGCATGTTGCTGCCACTTGCTCCTCCCCCACTCCCAACAATCACCCCAACTCATGTCTCCTTCTAGACAAAAGACCTGTCCGTGCTGCAGGAAAGAGGTGAAACGGAAAAAGATGGTCCATGTGAATAAACTCCGGAAGACCATTGGCCGTCTGGAAGTCAAGGTAGCTCAAAACACCCACTCCCACCACCCAACACTCTTCTTCCCTGCAGGGTTGAGGGTGCAGAGCCAGGAGACAGGGTGAGAAGAATCCCATCCTCAGAACTGAGGGTTTCTCCTCTATACCTGGCTGAATTTGAGTCACATCTCTACCACTTACTTACCTGCTGTGTTACTTTGGGCAAGTTACCCAGCCTTTCTGAGCTCCAAGAGTCTCAGCTGTAACATGGGGATTATGGAGGATGAAATGTCTGCTCTGCCTACTACTACTCTCCAGCCCCTAATTTAATAGATGGGGAAACTGAGATGAAAAGAAAAGAAGCCTGGTGTACATACAATGCACCAGACCCACCCAACCATGTAACTCCCTGTTCTCCAAACCTCAGGACTTGCCCTCATCCTCTTTGAGATCTAAATTTTTTTCCCCACCTCCAAGCATTTGCCCTACTGTTTCCCTCTCCATCACGTCATTGGTGTCAAAAGAGCTTGGGAGGCTCCCAGTTCAGTGGTTCCCGGTCAGTGGAATGTCAAGGATGGAACGTTCTGTAGGGGATGGGCAGCTTATGGCTGGCAATGCCCAACATGGTTTAGCTTACACAATGCTCCCCTCTACCCACAGTGCAAGAACGCCGAAGCTGGCTGCCTGGTGACGTGCCCACTTGCCCATCGTAAGGGGCACCAGGACTCATGCCCTTTTGAGCTGATGGCCTGCCCCAACGAGGGCTGCATGTCTCGGGTGCCTCGCGGGGACCTGGCCGAGCACCAGCAGCACTGCCAGCATGGTGCCCATCAACGCTGCCCCCTGGGCTGCGGGGCCACACTGGGCCCAGCCGAGCGTGCGAATCACAACTGCTACCGTGAGCTGCGGGAGGCCTGGAGCCAGCGCCAGGAGCGCAGCCGGACCCTGGTGTTGTGCCTGCTGCGGCGCATGCGCAAAATGCACCAAACCACCAACCTCATCCGCCGGCAGCTGGCCCAGCTCGGAGACTTCCTGGAGGAAGATGATGCCCTGCTTGTGGGCGCCCCACAAGAGGAGGCTGAGGCCACCCCAGAAGGCAGCTTTGGGGCTGAGTTGTGGGGGGCCCAGGACCAAGGTACCTTGTAAATAGAGGGATAAATAAACGCAGAGCCCAGGCCTGGCCGCCTCACCACCTCTGTGTTTGCTGACCTTACACCTTTACCACGTTTGCGGGCCCTCTCACCTTTCCAGGCACTATTCCCTTCACCCCAAATGGTCATTCTGGCCTTTCTCCTGGACCTTTGCAAGTTCTTCCCAACCAGTTCTTCACAATGGCTGCCTGGCAGGCTCTTCCCCTGGATCTCTCTTTTCACCAAATTGTCTCCTCTGTGCAGAGGTTTCCAGATCGACCTCTCCCAGTCTCCTTCCCAGTTACCTTCTACCAATCTGTTTACCAGCTTCACAGCCAGCAGTAGTACAAACAGCTTAAAACCCTGAACTCAAAAGCCAACTCCTCACAATGATTCCCTGGGATCTCCCATTAGTTTCTGTTTCCTGCCCTATACCCTCCCCTTCCTACTAAATCCCTGCAGCCACACTGGCTTCTGTTGCTCCTAAACACCAGGCCTGTGCACTGGCTGTTCCTCAGATAATTACAGGGATCCCTGCTTCACCAAATTCGGGTTTTTGCTCATGTCACCTTTTCAATGAAGCCTTCACCCCCAATTTAAAATTGCACCCCTACACTCTACTCCATCCCTCGCCATGCTGTATTCTTTCCACAGCACTCATCACTTAACAATCAAGATTATTCCCTGCCCTTTCTCTGCCTAGCCCTCACCCCACTAGCTTGTGAGCTAGTCAAGAACCAGCTTCTCTAGTGCCTCTTAAGCGTCTAGAACGGGGCTTTGCACATAGAATGTGCTCCATCAATATTTGAACGACTCTGAAGTTACCCGATTTATTAATTTACCTGCGTTATTCCTCATACTAGACAGTGAGCCCCAAAGCAGAGCCCGGTTAACAGCTCTCTGCTCAGGCACCGCACCCGACCTCGCTTGTCCCCAAATCCCAGAGTCCCGAAGGGGCAGGAGTCTTGGGATTCAGTAAACATTTCCTACGAATATCTTTTAAAATTTCTATCAAAAGGACAGGCAGCTGGCTACCCCAGTCGCTGCCAGTCTACCCCACCAGCCCCCGCCGCTTCCAAACCACTCTACACCCCCACCTCCGGGCCGGAGACGCCTCTGCCACCTTCCGCTTCCTGATGCGGCGGCCAGTGCCCACAGCAAAGATGT